TAGCTTTATGTACATTGATCCTACAGTTGATGTGTTTCTACTTCCTACAAAGGTCATTATAGAAGAAAATGTGATCAGTATTACATTTGTCTTTGCCCGAGATGATATCAAGATCAGTTAATGTCTCCTATTCAATTCGACACCAGCATATCTTGTGAATTTGACCAACTTTTTGGTCGTACCAACATTACACTTGAATCCCCACTGAGTTTTGTTCTCAAGTGGTCTTGTGACGTTATTCAAAAGCTTTGAACATTAGGCAAAGAGCTTACATGATTGAGAAATCTTGGCAGAAGCCACAGTAAAAGATGAATGTGTTGTCAAATGTTTTAAGAACATCTGAGCAGAAACCACAAGAAAGATGAATGTATTGTCAAATGTTTTACGAACCAGTGATTATGGTGCTGAACCAATGTTGGAATCATACGGTTTCCATTTATTGATCCAAGATGAAATATGTCTTCTTCAACCCCAAGATTAGAAGTCAGATATAATGAAGATTTCTTTCCAAGGAAAGTTGAAATTTTAAACAAGAAACTAATGGGGTCAACTAAGGTTGAACTACAGGTTGTTGTTAAGCATCTCAACATGATATTGGTCCAAGTTGCCTTATTCGAGATCTGATTATATGTGGAGACATGAAAGGAATTGGAATAAATCTTCTTTGTGATGTTTCAAGAGTCAAATCAGAACAGACTATACTCCCCTAATTAATCCCCGCTGAGTCAGGCATATCTACATCTGCACTTTTTAAAGATAATAGATTCTCACTTCAGAGATGACAAATTTCTTTTTAAAGATGATAGATTCTCTTTTCAAAAATGAAAGCTTTATGGAATTTCTACACAAGTCCAAGCAAAGAAAATTGGTTTTATCCAAGACAAAATGGGACATCAAGGTCATAGTTCTGACTACAGCAAGGGTTCCACAAATGAAACATTTCTTCTGAGACCTTCATGAAGCAAAGAAGACAGTAAAGATACAAGTTGATCAGATGATTCTGCAGAAATGCAAGCTTGATAGCATAAGTTGCTACATTGATATCCAGAGATAACCCTGGCAATAAATGATGAACTAGAGGAAGACCAAGTTCACCACTTTGAAGTCAAATGAAGATTGCATCAACATTCATGCATTCATAAGAATATCATTTATACAATAGACAATGCATTACATTGATACATCTGAGTGCATTCAAACATGAAGTTTTACAGATCTTCGGAAGAACGAAGAAGAAAAAAAATACCTTACAAGAAGAAGGTATTCAAAACCAAAAATACAGGAATCACGCAAACATCTGAAGAAGAGATGGACGCAATCCACAAGAATGAGTATTATCTTGAGATTGGGGCATGTTACCCAATCAACATGTTATTTTGAAAAATAATGAGAAAACGATTTTCATAGTTTCTCATTTTATCTTTTCTAAAATGAAATTGTTGAAAAGTAAGAAAACGATTTTCTTAGTTTTTTACTTAGTAAACTATTTCTTACATCTGTAAGTCCTTCAGTGCATGATGTTTCCAAAAAGCCTTCGGGAGCTTTTTGATGTTTTCAAAACCTTCGGGTCATCTGTAAGCCCTTCAGTGCATGATGTTTCTAAAAAGCCTTCGGGAGCTTTTTAATGTTTTCAAAACCTTCGAGTCATCTGTAAGCCCTTCAGTGCATGATGTTTCCAAAAAGCCTTCGGGAGCTTTTTAATGTTTTCAAAGCCTTCGGGTCATCTGTAAGTCCTTCAGTGCATGATGTTTCCAAAAATCCTTCGGGAGCTTTTTGATGTTTTCAAAGCCTTCGGGTCATCTGTAAGTCCTTCAGTGCATGATGTTTCCAAAAAGCCTTCGGGAGCTTTTTAATGTTTTCAAAGCCTTCGGGTCATCTGTAAGTCCTTCAGTGCATGATGTTTCCAAAAAGCCTACGGGAGCTTTTTGATGTTTTCAAAGCCTTCGGGTCATCTGTAAGTCCTTCAGTGCATGATGTTTCCAAAAAGCCTTCGGGAGCTTTTTGATGTTTTCAAAGCCTTCGGGTCATCTGTAAGTCCTTCAGTGCATGATGTTTCCAAAAAGCCTTCGGGAGCTTTTTGATGTTTTCAAAGCCTTCGGGTCATCTGTAAGCCCTTCAGTGCATGATGTTTCCAAAAAGCCTTCGGGAGCTTTTTGATGTTTTCAAAACCTTCGGGTCATCTGTAAGTCCTTCAGTGCATGATGTTTCCAAAAAGCCTTCGGGAGCTTTTTGATGTTTTCAAAAACCTTCGGGTCATCTGTAAGCCCTTCAGTGCATGATGTTTTCAAACATTTCCATCCTGCTCAAAAGAAGCCAAATGAAAAAATTATTGTCTTTTTCGTCTTTGCTCTATTCTTGTTAACACAAGGATGAGCAAAGAGGGGCAGCTGTAGACATCATTTTTTCATTTAAAATTATTATTATTATTATTAGTATTATTATTATTATTAGTATTATTATTATTATTATTATTATTATTATTATTAGTATTTATTATTATTATTAATATTATATATTATTATTATTTAATAAATAATTACAAAATTAGAAGCCCATTTACAAGCCCAAATACCATGGCCAACCAGAACCGACCCATACCCCAAACTGAAACCCTAAACTGATTTAGGGTTTCAGCTAGGGTTTACAAACCCTAGCCCCCAGCCGCCGTCAACATCATCAGCCGTTGGATCTGGCAAGATCCAACGGCCCAAAAAGGTTCCAGATGGGAAACCCTAGGGTTTTCTAACCCTAGCAGCCAGCCGTTTCTAGATGCCTCCAGCCGCTTCCGATGAGTCCAGGTGGTCCAGCAGATGCTGCCGACACTCCAGAACGTCGAGAAGCTACCCACGTTGAGCCCTATGGTGAGTCACCGCCATAGCTATGGTGACTCACCGGGCCTTTCATCTCTGGAACCGGTCCAACGAGAGCCTCGGTGGTGGCTATAAAAGCCACCCCACCTGCAAGAAAAAAAAAACCAGAAGGACAGAGAGCAACAGACAGCCACAGAGAGCAACGAAGAACAACAGAAAAACAGACGAAGAGAGAACAAAAAAAAGAGAGAAATATGAACAGCAACCAACAACTAGACTAAAACAGAAACGAAGAGAAGAAGAGAAACTTACCCTTGAAGCCTCACTCATTACCGGAAATACCGAGCATCACCGGAGTTTCATTTTTCGAAGGTAAAAAAATTAGATCTACAGGAATCTAAGGGTTTTTAGGGAAAATAAAGACCGGAATCGGTCTTAGAGCTTTTAGATCTATATTTTAGGTAAATTTGGGAATTTTCGGCCACCGGAGGCGGTGGCCGGCGGTGGAACTTGCGACGGATCATGGTTGCCGGCCGGTGCTCAGCTCTCTCTCCGGGGAAGAGTTTGGAGAGAGCCGAGAGAGTTTTCTCTCTCACAGAAAGAAAAAAAAAGAAAGAAATGAGGAAGATGGCATATAATGGCCGGCCGATAGGGTATTTAAAGCCCTCCCCAAACGACACCGTTTTGGGGAGGATCTGTCCGTAATTAAAAAAAAGATTAATCCCGTCCGCCATCCCTTTAATTTGTAATCTTTACCTTTTAGTCACTGAATCAAATTTTTGATCCTTTTAATTCAGTCTCTACATTTTATTTATTTATATTTTAGCCATTTACCGTATTAATAATATTTAAGATAAATATCATATTTAGTCCTTTAATTTTAATAAATAATATTTTAATCCCGAGTGTATATATTTTTAATTTATTTTAATATGATATTCGAATTTTATATAGTTTTAAATTAGTCACCAAATTAATAAATAAGGAAAATAGCATGTTTAATCCCTATAATTTTAAATAATTAATTATGAATTAGGTATTTAATTTTATTAGATTATAATTTAGTCCCTAAATTTAATATTTTCATTTACAAGCTTTATTATTTTTTTATTTTTTTATACCATGTTTTAATTGTATTTTAAACATTATTTAATCATATGTTACATTTATATATTTATGTTCATATATCATTACTATTATTATTATTTTTTATTAATTATGTCAATATATATAGTCTTATAAATATATATAATATTTATTTATTTATTCTATTTTTCTATTTGTAAATTTAATTTTATAAATTACTTTTAAGAAAAATAATCATATTTTGATATTTATTTATTTTTAATATCAAAGAAAAAAGTTGTCTTAAGGTACCTAGAAGCTCTTTTCTGATATTTTTGAATAAATAAATATCTTACTATATTAAAATAAAAGGTTTTTGATATTTATTTTTAAATATTAAAGAAAAGAGCTGTCTTAAAACACCTAGAAGCCCTTTTCTGATATTTCTAAATAAGTAAATATATTATTTATGTATATTAATATATTTTCTTAAAATTATTTGAAATAATAGAATTATGAATTAAATATATATTTGATTTTTTTTTTCTAATAATAGAGACAATTTATAGTTAATAAAGTACCAATTTTGGGCGTTGTAGGGGTGCTAATCCTTCCCTAAACGTAACCGACCACGAATCCCTTTTTATTATTAAAAAGAACGAATTTTTGGTTATAAAACGCAGATCAGTTCATCTTTTAAATAATGTTTTCTTAAAAACTTTTTTTTAAAAGATAATTTTTAGGTATTCGACCTACCTGACCCAAAAGGCCGATGGTGACTCCCAAATTATTTTCAAAACCATTTATTCACATCAATTTCCCCGCCAAAATTATAATATTTCGTGCCCGGACGAAAACCGGTTACGACACCATTGACCTTACTAATTTGTATTTTACTATTGCTAGAATCTAGCAACAAACGTGGAAGGAGGAAATGTAAAGAGAGAAAGATAACAAAAATTTTCTATTGAATATTGAATAAACTCTACTTTAACCTCATACAAAGGTATTGCTTATTTAGTCCAAGTAAACAACAAATCATAACAAACTAATAATAAACTAAATCCTAACTAATAACAAATACTAACTAATCATTATTAACATTATAATATTCTTCCGACTTCTTCAACCTTCTTGATGAAAAAACGAACACTTGAAACGAAAGTGCGATACATCTTTTCGTTTGACTTGAATCGGAAGTGCTGATGCTTCATTCCGTTCAACTTGAATCGGAAGTGCCGATGCTTCCTTCCATTCGAATTGAATCGGAAGTGTCGATACCTCCTTCCGTTCGACTTGAATCGGAAGTGTCGATACCTCCTTCCGTTCGACTTGAATCAGAAGTGCCGATGCCTCCTTCCGTTCGACTTGAATCGGAAGTGCCAATGCTTCCTTCCGTTCAACTTGAATCGGAAGTGCATATGCTTTCTTTCATTCTTCTTATTCACCTCCATTTCTTTCTTCTTCATTCTCTTATACAAGGTTGAGATACTTGGCCCTAATGAATTTCCCGAAAGAAAAATCTAGATTTCGAGCTAAAAACAGCTTTGAATTTGCTGATCTCAGGGCCTTGAATTCATTGAAATGCTTCACCGGGTCTGTTTTTCTAGGTTTAAGCTCTTTGCCGAGGCAAAAATCATGGAGATTGAAGCCTTCAAGCATTGTTCTACACACAAAAGATTCAAATGCGAGGCACCTGTGATTTTGTTTAACGAAAACAACACCCGATTCAATGGCTTTAGCCGCTGCATCGAGATCCCAATTCGCTAACTCCATTTCCTTGATCATCAATTTCACGAAACTACGAACCGATCGCAAAGCTTTATGCAAAACTTGAAGAAAATGACTCAGATTCAGCGTTGAAATATTGTTGATATTATCGAACATCGATAACGGCCCGCTAGCATTTAATTTATTCTCCAGGGACTTGTTAAAAGCAAGGCGATCTTTGAACTGCTTATGGAGTGAATCAACCTCTGAACCTTCTGCTTCAACGTCAGATTCCAGTTTCTTGATTGTGATCTCATAAGTCTTCATCAAGCTCTGCTGTTCTTGAATTTCTGCAAGCATTAAAGTGATTAGAGGTGAAAGATCAAGCTCTCTCTTCAAGAACTTTCGCTTTAACTCCAAGAGTGTTCTCAGTTCTTCAACGATGGCTTCATCAGCAGCCTGGACAGCGCTATTGTTGCATGGGTTTTGCGCCATTTGAAGCTCTGCATAAGCAGCTTTGATGGCTGTAACACTAGCAAAAATCCTCGCAACCAAAGCTTCCAACACAACTTTCTGCTTGGGATTTCCACGGGAAGAGATTTTCTGATCTGGATTTAAATTGTAACACTTGTAGAGGACTTTAGGTTGATGACTTTGTGAAAGGTTCTTGCGAGCTTGCTTTTATGGCCATGCCGATGCCATTGTTGTTGTTAACATTGATGTGGTTAATGGTGGGGTAGAATGTTGTTTGGATCATGAGAAAAGAGAGGAAAAAAAGAAAAAGAACAATGATTTTGAGTGAATTGTTTGGAAGAAAAGAAAAAGAGTGAGAGTAAAGGAACTCAATCGTCGGCGCAACGGTGGAAGAGAAAACGATGCCATGATCTTTTAGCGAATGATACCATGTAAAGAATGACTTCTTTACATGTGACTTGTTTGTTGTTAACATTCTAATACAGCGATATCTTGGATGAAAATTTCTAATAGGCTGCCAATAAAGGATAAACCGACTTCTTCTTCTAAAATGTGATTGTATTTTTCTTGTTGAATGGAGATGGATATTGGATTAAAATCCATAATTATAGACATATATTTATAATGGATATTGGATTAAAATCCATAATTATAGACACATATTTATAATGTATATTGTTATCATAAAATATGACATAAATTAAATGACTAATTATGTTACAAAGTCATAAAGTATTAGAAGTGTCATGAAAATAAAAATGTAGATACTATTAAAGTTGTATATATAACTTGATGAGGGGCAAAGTTAGAAGTACAGACAATAATTGATTATTAAATTAGCTATGTAAAGGGTTATGGTCCCCAAGAAATAAACATTTTCATATGGAAGATCACAACTAAAGAAAGATTCAAGGATTTCAACATATCAATTAATTCAGGTACACTTCCGCTAATCTAGTATTTATTTTATTCTTGATGGTTTGATACGATTAGATCATGGCTATTTTCATATGTAATATGATTTTGTTCTAACAAGTGGTATCATTTCCTTGTCATGTTGAATTATTGAGAATAAAATGATTTTAAGGTTTGTGTTTTAAGTGATTAAAATCTTTGTATAAAATTTTAATATTATTCTTAAAATATAATCTTATAATTTAGAGTTTGCTATTCGTCAATTTCGAAAATTCACATTTCAATAATCAAACATTGAATTCATATTTCAATTTTTGTCTATCAATCGCTATCTGTTGTTTTTTATTTGATATTAGCCAGATTTTGGTTGTTTTTAATCAATTTTTATATTGATTAAATGTTTGGCGTCATTAATATTGGGTTGGATTATACTCTTGTGTTTAAGTTGTTTATGCATTAATCGAATGGTTGAATTGTAATTATTAATGCAATTAATTTTTGGGACACATGATCGTTAAGAATATATATAAAAAAATTATTATTGCTGCAGTGTTGAGTTCACATGATTGTTGCAATTGTTTTTCAATTGTGATCGCATATGTTAATTCAGGCTATATTGCGGTTAGTAGCCACATGTTTGGGAAATTTTTTCCTTCCATTCTTACCTCTTTGATTTTGATTAATCTGAGTTCTAAGTATAATAAAATATGATTGAAATTTAGAAATTTTGATTTTTGCAAATGGACGTTGAACTGTTTCCATTCTTCTGCTTTTATGTGGTTTATGCAATTTTCTTTATGGAATTCTTGTTAAAAGCAATTGATCATCCTTTGATGCTACGCATAACCATGTTTATTACTAAGGAAATATTCATTTTCTCCTTCGCGGTAACTTTGTTCTGATTAAAGATTTGGTATTAAACATTTTTTAATATTATGTGGAATATATATAAATTAAATTATATATCCAGCTCATGTTTTGCTGATTAAGTAGTTTTTGAGGAATATTCAAATGTTTAGGTTTTTGATTTCTAATAATGTCATTCAAACAACCTTAATATGTGTTATTTCGGAAATTATGATGTGATTAGAAAATTCAGTTTTGATTGTTTGACTATTATGAATTATAAAATATACATTTGGTATTAGTATATTCAATTTAGTTTGATTAAAAATTTAATTCACTAGTATGTATTTGACCTTGGTTTTTGGTTAAATATTGATTAGAATTCGGTTTACTTTTTAGTGATTTACAAAGTTATGAACTAAATGCATGCTTAAGGAATACATCGAAAACAATCAAAGACTTGAGTTTTCGATTTGATAGCACCATTTATGTAACCTTATTTTGGGTTATTTTAGATACTGTAGTGCAATAAGGAATTTCAATTTTTAACCTTTGGTTGTTATTGAAATGTTAAATTTCCATATTGATATTTATTTTAAGATGACTTAAAGCAATAAGTCGTTAAAGTGACTCTAGTTAAGGAAAATATTTAAAATAGGTTATGTACAACTTAGGATTTATTAGTATTGATCAACCTAAAGGATGATTAATAGTTGACATAATTGCATGTACAACTTTGATAATAAATATGTGATAATTATTTGGTTTGATGTGTGAGTAATAAATCAATCCAAAAGAAGATTTTCTTGACATGTTCTTATTATCAGTCTTTGGTTACCACATCAAATATCAATTAAGGTAAATATTTTGCCTAAAGATAAAATATTAATAGAGAATCTAATATCTTGAGATAAAGTTTAAGGTTATCTGTGGCAACTTCAACGCCAATCTCAGTTCCTCTGACCGTTTAGGTGGTGTGTAATACCCCAAATGTTGGTTAGTGACCAAAACATAAGTTTTGAAAGTTTAGTAGCCAAAGTATAAAATTAGGAAAAGTTTAGAGACCTAAGTGGTAATTTTCTCAAAAAGAATTTTTGTTCCACAAATTGATAGTTTACTCTTGAGAAGGGTTTTATGGAAATCATATTCTAGATCCAGAAATTTTGTTAAAAACTAGAAATGGTTAAAGTCTGTTAAAAATTTAGTAAATTGATTGAATAAAAATTTTGAGAAAATTGAAGGATGATAAATTAGGTTTAAAAATATTATTTCCACATTTTAAAATGATGTAAAATAATATAAATAATTGGATTTGAGAATTTATTTCCATGCTCAATTTGGACCGTTGGATTTAAGTGGGAAGATTGAAGTTTTTCAAAAGTTGCATGGATAAAATGGTAAAGGGTAAAATATTTTGTTCATCTTTGACTTTTGAAATATGATAAGGGTTATGTTTCATATTTTGATGGTAATTATAAGGTTTCATTAAGGGTAAAATGGTCTTTTCCTAATTAAATGAATTTAATATTCATTTAAGCTTAAATAAATGATAAATTAACATGAAATCACTTAGAAATTTCATGTAATCTTCCCCATTTTTTGCTTCAAGTCATGAACCCTATCCTAAGGTAAGAGAAAATTTCTTCTTGATTTTTGAGCAATTTCCTTTGGATTTTGGATCGGGTTGTGAAATATAAAATTGTTCTATTCGAAAAACGCTATCATTTGGTACCTTTGGATTATGACACTTGTATTGTCTTGTTTGAACTTGTTTTTGTTCTCTCTTTATTATTCACTTGAATATTTTATAAATTGTTTGATGATTGAAATTATGCTACCTTATATGGTTATGAGCAATAAAACAAGTTCTAATCTTGTAGTTCTTTTAACATCATTTGAATTAAAGGATCTTTTGAGGATCGAGGTTGTAGTCCTTTAACATTTGAAAAGATTAGACCTTTTGTATCCCGTGTAAAGCCCAAAGACACAATCACTCGATTATTTACCTAAAATAATTCATGATCAACACCCTTTCATGACATTACCTTTTTTAAAGATATGGCTTCAAGGTCACACCATACTTTTTAGACACAAAGCCAACATTCTTGAACCACAATAAATCCTAAAGGCATTGAGCACAAGATGTCTGTTTAAGAATAGATCATTCATGCAAGAGAAGAAATATGTGGGCATCCTAGATCAACTTTAAGAAAATAAGCTAGAATAATAGGGGAATACCAGTAGCTAGAAGATGAAGAAGAAATAAAGGAGAAATATTTGAAATAAATCTATCATACATTAATTACATTGTTTTCATGTGAATAAAATTTAATCGTGAATATCTATCCCTCTAGGGATACCTCTTTTGCAAGGACTTTCGTGTATGAAATGATGAATGCCATTTTTTTCACTATCCCTTCACAAAAGGAGAAAATATATACATGTTTTCCATATTTGAGCCTAAATTATTTTTCTTCAAATTCAATCCTAACAAAGGATCACCCACCATACTAGGGGGCAAGGCGAATAGAAGTTTGCTCACATAAGTGAAGAGCATCAATGATTCTATTACAAGGATAAGTCCATATAAGATAAGAAAGTAATACAAGATGTCGCAAGAGGGACCAAATACAAGGTGTTCAAAAATCAAATCTAGTCGAAAACAACAAAAATGTTCTAGATGCAAGAAATAACATATGCTCATACAAAAATGAGAATTTTGCAAATAAAGAGAACAAAAATTTTCTCACATTAATTGAAGACCTAAATTTATCAAATAAAGAGGACAAGAAGTGCACATAAGGAGCTCATCTTATAAAAAGGCTAATTAGGCTCCTAAATCATAAGCTTGATCAAGTACAATTGGTTCAAATATCCAAATTCAATGAGAAACTTACGAATACCATAGGTATAGAAAAAAGATGAAATATAGGGTAAAAACCCATAAATGGGCAATTAGAGGGAAATGATAAATAAAAGACATGTGGAAGTAGATTCAAATCATACAAACTGAGATTGAAGACATCATTACAAATTCATCATTTGTTATAGCACCCGTAGACACTTGTTTGGGCATATTTATCCCTTTGTTTCATACATGTGACTCATGGCATACGTTACGTGCCTTAAAAGTCATTTCTAATCATACATGGATTGCTAAGTTGGAGAGACTATCCTAAGATTTTACCATGCCTCTAAGTGTTAATCTTTTTATTTGCAAAAAGTTTTCTATAATCTTTACTTCATGATAGGGAAAAATAAAAAGAGGGTTTATGACGAAAAACTTCTTAGGATGTCTTAAAACCAAATGGGGATAAAACTTGAAAACATGAAAAGATGGATCAAATATTAAAATTGTGCATCTATTGCGTAAAAGGCGTTCTTACAAATCTTGGAATCAATGAATATTTATAGAAAATAGGCATGACAACCACTTCTTCGAGTCAGTGGATAGCAAAGAATCAAAAATACTATAACAAAAAAACCAACCTGAAACACCTTACCTTTCTAAAATCAACATATACCTTAAATTTTCCATTAGTCTTAACACTTGTTACAGGGTTATAATTTTTTAAGGATTAAAATAGTAATTGATTTGTTTGATATATGATAAACTCAATTCTATAATTTGGTTCAATTGTAAAACTAAAGTAAAGAGGCACAAATAACCCCATAAAAAGGCTTTATTTTTGTTCCTTTTTACTTAGGTTATTGTTTTTTTATAAAGCCCATGTCATAGCATTTAGAGTTCATTTAGGTTATATAATTGAATTTAGTGGTAAAGTCTTGCTATGACACAAATTTATTGAAAATTAGCACTATTGAGAGAAAAGTCTTGTTTTTTGTGTTGTGCAGGCAATGAAAGCTTTAAAAGAAGATTTGACCAATGTAGCATACTAAAGAATTATTGTTGTAGCATTCTGGAGAAGAAAAACTGAAAGACTTGATACAGAGAAAGATAGATAGCAAACCTAGAGTAGAAAAGAATTTGGGACCATGTAACTCAATTTGGGACCATGTAACTTACCACCCCTACTACAAATTTAGGACCACCTGCCACAAATAACCGTACATTCATATGAGAAGGGTGTCACCTAGGGTACAAAGGGAATTTTGGGCCCCAAACCCTAGAAATATTACCTCTATAAATACTTAGGGCAGATGAATGGTGGTGGAGCTAGGTCACGCCAGCAACTCATTTGGGAGTAATAAACTTGTGCTTTATTTTCTATCTTCTTGGGCTTGTACTAAACTTGAATATTTTTGGATGAACTTAGCCACACCATGTATTATTTGGTGTTGGATTTATGTTGGATGATTTGGATTTTTTATGTTTAAATATTGTTTTGCTCACTATTTTTATCTTTATGCACTGTAGCATTATAAGAGCTTTTGAGAGATTACCATTTTCTGTAGTGTAATATGCTTAGTCTTGTAAGAGCTTTTGATAGATTACCATTTTCTAAGTATATATACTTAGTATCAAGAGAGCTAGGTCATTTTTACGTGAGAAAGGGAGCCAAACCTGGATAGGGAGATTTTAACCCGCCTTAGAGATAAGGAGAGGGTTTCATTTGACTAAAAGGGATAAGACTTAGTTGATAGAATGGTGTTGCAGTTTACATTGAGAGGTATTATCATAGTATTAGTTTTATCAGGTTCCTTGCTTGAGAGAGTTTAGGAGCATTTTCAGAAAATCCTGTCATGCAACATACTCAAAGAAACAAAGATCATCCTTAACATAGAATATTATTGCCATAGCATACCATTTACCTCTAGAAATGCTAGATTGTGTGAGTTTGTCAGTCTTATATCATTTCCTAGAGTTCAATTTATTTTCCTGCTTTAGCATACTTTTGCAATTTACTTAAATTCTTGTCTCAACACACTTTTTCAATTTCATCAATCTTGTACCACAACAGTTTCACTCCAGTTCACTCTATTCTTGCCATAGCATTCCATCACCATTTATACATACTATTTGCCACAAATACACTTTCATTTGTTTATACCATTATGAACATGCTTAGATTTAGTTAGTTTTAGATTTAGTTCGTGACAGTTTTTGTTTGCTATAGCTGGGTTTTATAATACCTCCAATCCATGTGGAGACGATACTCACTCATTATTGTATTACTTGCATCGATTGCGTAAAATTTCATAGATTTACGTGCCATAACACTATATATTTACACACGATCAAGTTTTTGTTATAAAAAAAGTTTTTGTTAGTTTTTGTTTTCAGTTTTACTTGTTATTTTTGTTTATTTATTTTGCAGGTTTTGTTGTTACATGGCCCAAAGGACTGTCGATGAATCACTTTATCCTCTAGTTCTGGAGATTGAGCATTTATCCTGTAAAAGATAATTTTCTCAACGAGCTAATCGAGTCATGAAAAATCAACCAAACCAACCTGTTCAGTGAGTTCAAGACCATGCAGATCCAAATGTTGTAGCATTTGGGATTGAAGGACTTGTACCTCCACCGAGAGCTATTCGAGACCATTTAGCTCATATTCTGGAAGATCTCAACCCAGGAATCGTAGCACCTGAGATCCAAGCAACCAATTTTGAGCTTAAACCAGTCATGTTTAACATGCTGAATTCAATTGGACAATTTGATGGCATGCATAACAAAGATGCAAGGCAATACATATGTGTTTTCTTTGAAGTTTGTGACTCATTCATGCATGAAATAGTGCAAAAAGATGTACTAAAGCTATAGTTTTTCCCCTATTATTTGCATGACCGAGAAAGAGCATGGCTTTAGTGGAGTTCCATCCGACATGATGGAGACTTGGGTTGATCTTTACAAAAGCTATTTGTTGCGGTATAATCCTCCCAACATGCACACTCAACGTCAAAATGGACATAGCAAGTTTTAATCAAGCTTATGAAGAATCAATTTACGAGTGTTTGGATCGTTATAAAAGTTTGCTTTGCAAGTTCACTAATCATAGATTCCACGACTGGACTCAAGTCGTGATGTTCTACAATGGAGTGAATGCACCCACCCGTATGATGTTAGATGCTTTAACAAATGGCATTTTTCTTGATAAATCACTTGAGGAGGCATTTGACGTACTTGATAGGATAGTCAATAATGACATCAATTTTCCTATTCAAGGCTTGGAGCTGGAAGTAAGACACCTGGGACATTTGAATTAGATGCTAAAGATTCAATGTCCACCCAAATTTCCACCATAACAAATATGCTGAAAAAATCTACAACTTTCCAGCGAGGTGAAGGAGGTGAAGATGTCCAGCTCTTTATGCATCTTATGCTGTGGCAATCACCATAAGAGTGAATGCTAGAAAAATCAAGAGTCTATCAGCTACATGTGGAATTTTAATTGTAACACAACCCCTATTTTAATACCTACAATCCAGGATGACGTCAGCATCCTAATTTCTCACGGGGCAATCAAGGGGCAAACAACAACAATACATGCAACTTGAACAGGCCACATCAGAATATTTCTGAATCTTTTGGATTTTAACAACAACATATGTCGTGGAAGAATGCTAACAAGAGTTCATCTTCTACTTTAAATTCTAGTTCTCTTGAAGCTACTATTTAGGAATTTATGGCTTTAATGAAGGCTTTATTGCATGAGCACTCATTGATAATTAAAAGTCAAGGCACACTTTCGCAGAATCAAGCAGCCTTGTTGCAAAGTCACAGCTCATATTTGAGAGATTTAGAGAACCAAGTGGGACAAATTGCTACAGCATTACATGCTCGCCCATAAGGAAGTCTCCCTGGTGATAATGAGGTCACTAAGCCTCATGGAAAGGAGCAATGAAGTGCACTCATGTTGAGGATTGGTACTCAACTCAATCAAGAAGATAAGTTTGAGGGGAGAAGCAAGAAGATTCCCGCTATAACATTATTCAACTAGAACTTAAAGTGTAAGAAAAATTACATGTGGAGAAGGACAATGATGAAGGTTCCATGAGTAAACCTATCGATTGAGGACAAACTAATGTCACAACAAAAGTTGTTCCCCCACCTGTAGTAGAAGGAGTCAGACTCCACACCATTCCCTTAAAGACTGAAGAAGCATAATGATGACATCCAATTCAAGAAGTTCATTAACATCCTTGATCAACTATATATCAATGTTCGAATCTTGGAGGCCACTGATTAGATGCATACTTAATCCAAATTACTCAAGGACATTGCCACAAAGAAGAGAAAGGGGGAGAGGTTTGAAACTATCACCATAGTGAAATAATATTATTATGTACTGAGTAAACTTCCGTCTAAGTGAAAAGATCTTGGAAAATTTTTTATTGCTTGTTCTATCGGTGATAAATATGTGGGGAGATCCCTTTGTGACCTTGGTTGAAGTGTAAATTTGATGCTCAAGTCTGTGTTTTTGAAGCTTGAAAGGGTAATGCTCGATCTACCACTGTGATCCTACAATTACCTGACACATCTCAGGTTCATCCTGAGGGAAGAATTTAAGATGCCATAGTAAAAGTTGAAAAGTTTATATTTCCCACTGATTTCCTTATTCTCAACTGTGAGGCCGACGATAATGCACCCATCATTTTGGGGCATTCTTTCTAGTTACTGACCATATTCTCACCGATTGTGAAAGAGGAGAGTTCACAATGCAAGTGGTTGATTAGACTGTCACCATCAATGTATTCAATACACTTAAGTATGTGGATGAATAAGATGAATGCCAATGTGTGTTGGACGTGGACTCAATATTAAAGGATGAAGTGGTAAATTTCTACTACAACAACATTTTATAGCTTGAGGACTAAGAGAGACTTTTTAAAGATGAAGATATTATGGAGTCCAAGGATTTTTCTTCAGAGTTGCATTAGTCTAGCTTGCTCTTAGCTAGACCAGGTCCACAATTCAAACCTTTTGATTTTGATGAATTTATTCCTCCAAAACCTTCTCTACAATATGCACCCACCTTACAATTGAAACCTTTGCCATCGCATTTAAAGTATGCTTATCTTGGTAGTGATGATAATTTTCCTATTATATTATCTGCTAGTCTAACCCCTGAGTAAGAGTGCAATTTAATAAATATCTTAGCACAATAAAAGAAAGTTTTAGTGTAGACTATGATAGATTTGAAGGGAATAAGCCCTACAATCTGCATGCACAAAATTCAGCTAGAAGATTTCCATAATAATTATGTGGAACCCCAAATAAGACTAAACCCTATAATAAAAAAAGTGGTGATAAAAGAGATCATCAAGTGGTCGGATGCTGGTGTGATTTACCCTATCTCTAATAGTTCGTGGGCTAGTCTGGAGCAATGTGTGCCCAAGAAAGGAGGCATGACCGTGGTGAGAAATGAGGAGAATAAAATTTTACCTACGAGGTCTGTCACAGGTTGGAGGATTTGTATGGACTATTGAAAACTAAATAAGGAAAAAAAGAAGGGCCATTTCCCTCCCCTTTATCGATCAACTGTTAGATCGATTGGTGGAAAGTCCTTTTACTGATTCTTTGAAGGATACTCAGGGTACAATTAGATTTCCATAACGCCAGAAGATAAAGAGAAGACAACCTTCATCTACCCTTATAAAACGCACACTTTTTGAAGGATGCTGTTCGGACTATGTCAGCAACATTTCAGATGTGTATGCTTGCCATTTTTTAGATATGGTGGAAGACTTATTGGAAATATTTATGGATAATTTTTTCATCTCAGATGACATTTTGATAAACACCCTATAAACATGGCTAAGGTACTAATGAGATATGAAGAGGCCAATCTAGTGCTCAAGTGGGAAAAATGGCACTCCATGGTGAGAGAAGGAATTGTGTTGGGGCATAAGATTTCACAGAAGAGAATCGAGGTCGACAAAGCCAAGGCTGAGGTGATTGAGAAATTTCCTGCACTTACTATTGTAAAGGGTATAAGGATTTTTTAGGGCATGCAAGATTTTACAGGCATTTCATCAAAGAATTCTCAAAAATTTTGAAGCCTCTCTGTCTTCTACTATAGCAAAATCAACCATTTCTTTTTTGACAAAGAGTGCTACAACGTGTTTAAGGTGTTGAAGGAAAGACTTGTCACAGCGCCAATAGTTATCCTACATGACTAGACAACTCCCTTTGAACTGATGTGCGATGCAAGTGACTACGCCATGGGTATAGTGCTCGAGCAAAGTCGAGGTAAAATATTTCATGTCATGTATTATGCTAGCCGCACACTAAATGAAGCACAAATAAATTATATTGCCACTAAAAAAGAATTAATTTACGTGGTATTTGATTTTGATAAGTTTATAGCATACTTGATAGGAACTAAGGGTATTGTCCATACCAATCACTTTGCCATTAAGTACTTAGTGAATAAAATTGATGCCAAATCTAGACTTATTAGATGGATTTTGCTATTGCAAGAATTTGATTTAGAGGTTAAGGATAGAAAAAGAATTGAAAATCAGGTTGCTGATCATCTATCTAAGCTAGACAATGTAAATGAATACCATGATAATCCAGAAATCAAGAAGGAATTCCCCAATGAGAAAATTTTATCTGTCGCAACTTGTCCGTGGTACGCTAACATAGTTAACTTTCTTGTTACTGGTGTTCTGCCTCTTGATTTAAATAGCTAGGGAAGAATGAAATTAATGCATGATGTGTGATACTATCAGTGGGATGAGCCCTATTTATTCAAGCAATACACCAATCAGATCATTAGGATATGTGTCCCTGAAGAAAAACAACATGATATTCTCTTCCATTTCCACAACGCACCATGTGGAGGACACTTTGGAAGTGTCAGAACTGTTGCAAAGGTCCTACAGTATGGATTTTATTAGCCCACGCTTTTTAAGGATGCATACGATTTCTACAAGTTGTGTGATCGATTTCAGCATACTAGGAACATTTCGAATAGACAAGAAATGCCATGGCAAAACATTATAGAGATAGAGCTATTCGACGTTTGGGGAATCAATTTCATGAGACCCTTCCCATCATCCTTTGGTGATCTGTACATACTCTTAATAGTGGACTATATCCAAATGGGTACAAGCCATAACAACACAACGAAATGACTCGAAGACTGTGCTCAAGTTCCATCACAAGAACATATTCTTATGATTTGGAGCACCTAAAGCAATTATTAATGATGAAGGTACCCACTTTGACAACAAATTGATTGATAAGGCATTGTAGAGGTATATGGTGTGACATAAAATTGTTACAGCATATCACCCCAGACCAATGGACTGACTAAGGTGTCCAACATAGAAATCAAGTAGATTCTCGAGAAGGTGGAGAACCCGAATAGGAATGGCTATTCCCTGAAGCTCAATGAGGCACTCTGGCTTATCGCACAACCTTTAAGACCCCATTCAAGTTAGTCTATAGATAGGCGTGCTATCTACTTACCGAGCTAGAGCATAAGGCTTATTGGGTGATTAAGAAGCTCAACATGGATGCCCAACTGGCTGGTGAGAAAAGGTTTCTAGAGCTAAATGAAATGGAGGAATTTTGTGCTCAGGCTTATGAAAATGCCCTTCTATACAAGGAGAAGACCAAACATTGGAACAAAAAAATATTCTACTGCGGCAATTTCATGAAGGCCAACAAGTCATCCTATAAAATTCTAGGATAAAGCTTTTTCCTGGTAAACTAAAGTCTCAATGGTCTAGACCTTTTTAAGTGCATAACATTTACCCGTATGGAGCTGTAAACATAAAACATATCGACAATGGCTTGATCTTTAAGGTGAATGGCTAATGCCTCAAAGTGCACAATGGAGCCCTAAAATTACGACACAAGTTGACACTTGTCCTCCATGATGTTTTAGAGTTTGTTCCTCCCACTCTTTAAATTCTCGCTGCAGTAGTTATTTTCATTGTTTTTATATAAATAATTATTCTAAATTAACCATTTTTTCTCTCCTTTTTATTTCAATTTTAACTCTAGTTTGTTTTCTAGTTCATCCAAAAACACGTGGCAACATGGGAAATGAGCTCAAAAGATAACAAAAAGAAACCTTACCAGATTTTTGGCTTAGGCAGAAAAAAGGGAGAAACAAATCTCTTTTAATTATTTTATTTATTTTTATTTCTTTTTAAAATTTTAAACTAACTAATCACATTCTAGGTAATTATTACCTTCTATTTCTCTTTCCTACTTTTGCATTAACTCCCCCAAAACTACCCATTTTTTCTTTAAAACTACCCACTCCTCTTCTTCTTTTTCTTCTTCATTTTGTTTTTATTTTTTAAGTTTTATCTCAAACTTCCTCTTCTCCACTCAATTTCTGCTATAGCCACCACCTTTGTTTTCTTTCTTTTTCTTCTATCCGCCGTGAAACCCCCACTGCCACCATAATAGAGTTTATTTTTTCTGTTTTTTTATCACATATAAGATGTCCTACTGTAAGAATGTTTTTGGTAAGGGTTTTTTCTCTCAACCGCCGCCACAAAATCTCATTTATAAATTTAAAGGTGATATGATAGAGGAGAGATTTCAACATAAAAGGTTGGCCAGTGTACTTAGAGCAGAGCTTTATTATGCCAGATGAAGATGAAGAGCCTTTTCCCCCTAAGGTAACTTCTGTCATAGCAAAACACCACTGGGAGGTTTTTAATCAATATCTACGTGATGTCGCCCTACCATCGTGAAGGAATTTAAAGATCAACTCTCTAAACCTATAAACCATGGATTCTGGGTGCGGGGGATGAGAGTTCGCTTCACACCAAAAACAATAAAGCATTTATTCAGGCTGGAAAATCTCACCAACCATCATGAATTGGTTTTTGCTACGACGGATGATGAAACCTAAGTGGGAGTCCTAGAGAATTTATGCTTCCAACAGTGGAAAGGTGAAAACCCCAACAAGTGGAGAGTGGAGAGGCATTGTCTGAAGCCTCAAGCCAAGGTATGAAATCACTTCATTAAAACTCGATTAATGGCTAGATCGCACCATATAATTGTTTTGTTGCAATATATGCTTCTCTTGCATTCTATTATTTTTGGGCGTCCGATCAATGTTGGTGAGATCATTGAACAACAAGTTTACGACTGCCTCAAGTAGAAAAAGAGCACATTGATATTTCTGAACTTGATCTCCGCCATGTGCAAAAATCTTAAAGTGGTGGACGAGATGTTTGAAGAAAAATCCCAATGAATGTTGGCATGACTAAAAAGTTGATTTCGGAGCTGATGGGTTTTGATGAGGAATATCCCAAAGAGATCTTTGAAAAGGGTTATAAAACTGTTGTTGCGGCTATAGGGGCTTCCTCTCAAGAGACAAAGGAGCAAGTGGAGAAGCTGGAGACCAAGATGCATACCTTCTTCATCTATATGAGGAAAAGGGATGCGATTATGTCATCTTTTTTCAAAGAGATACTGCATTTGAACACCAAAACCTTCACTCCTTTCCCTAAAGACATTTTAGAGGAGAAAACTTCTACCGTAACATTTTTTGAACAAGCCCCATAAGTCGTAGACATCTAAACCAGACAACGACTGCCCCACCCATTGAAGCATAACAATAAGATGAGGATGCTCACTCTAGTGCTACCGAGCTCATAGAGCCCTATGACATTGAGCCACTTAACACT